GATGAAACTATTGACTTTCTTGTACTTGTGACTGGCTGTAATTCGGTTGGTAAAATCAAAGACAGTGAGATATTCAAGATAAGCAGCACARCGTTTGTATCTCTGCAAGAAGATGAMGAGGATGAGAGCATCACTGAGATYCGTAAGCTGTTAAATTCTAGCACATTTTACTTTGCTGTTACATCAGATGATCAACCAGCATATGACCTGAGTCTCTGTGCACAGAGACAGCAAGATGGACATAAATCTGACAATAGATTCCTATGGTGAGTTTTATATGACTATTCTTTATGAGTTGCAATAATCATATTGCGCTTTTGATCTTCTAAATGTTAAAGAGCGCTATATAAGTCAATAAATTATTATTAAAATTATTATTTGATGTTATTGACTAATAGGTAACGGCATGTTAGGTTATTAAAATAATGGTCAAAACTTCAGTGTGATAGAATAAAGGGGCGATTGAAATACATTAAATTCCTGCAAGTTTATCCAGGGCATTTATGGGATGTTGTACAAATTAAGAAAATGGAACTGCTGTACACTAATGTTTTCATGAAATGTACATTTTATGTACATTCCTGAAAACAATGAATTTTTCTACTGAGAGCAAACTTGAGTTCTTGTACAGTAAGCTTTAAAAAGTCGAATGAAAAAGCGGGAAACATGACGTGTATATATGCATTCCTAAAAAAAGGGCAGGGAGTATTGCAATGTTTTCGTTACACTATCTACTATTTACTATGTATGTTCAAGCTTTACATTGAGATCTGAGAGCTTGGTCTCGCTAAATGGTCAGTCAAGAAGATAAGACCTTGGTCTGATATTTCCCTCTAATGATCTCTCTGTCAATATTGGTATGTAGTATGCATCTATGACAATAAATCAGAAGTCAAAAGTTGGGATCAGTGATAACCTGTGTTTAAAGATAACAAATTACACTTTCAGCCAAAAATAATTTGTTTCTTCTTTCAGGAATCGTAGTCTTCAAATCCATCTTGAAAAATTTGGTGTCAACTGTTCACAGTGGCTTTTGAGTATTATGTGTGGAGGAGTGGAAATTAAAACAGTATACATAGGCACTAAACAGGCTAAAGCTTGCTTGATATCAAGACTGAGCTGTGAGAGGGCTGGCACTAGGTTTTATGTCAGAGGAACCAATGATGAAGGGCATGTTGCAAACTTTGTAGAAACTGAACAGGTACAAGTCATTAAATGTAAGATAACTACATCCTACAACATATAATACAGCTTCCTCATCCTTGACTTAAATTGGGGTTTGGTAAAAATGTCAYGCTTGCAAAAAAGTGCTCAACCTACAACAAAAGGCTTTCCTAACCATTTCCCACTTCAAACTATGGTAGAGGTGTAGACTTCCCCCAAATTTCTCTTGCTGTTAGTCTTACTCAACAACCAAATTTTCTGAACAAATTTTATTTGAAGAGCTGTTTCACAATGAGATGAATTTTGACTAGCTCTGCTGGATCAGATTTGGCTAGTTTGTAAATCAGTCAATGTAGTATTTATGACATGAAACTATAGAGAACAAAGCTAGTGCATTTACATGAAAATTTAGACAGTTTTTGTGAAGGGCAAATTCAATGAATTTTGATAATGTCAAGAGTTTTACAAGTGAATCTCACTTTTTTAACAATGGCTTCAGCAACCCTTAGGAATAACAGTTGATGAGCTTTTCGATAAATTTTGTTGTAAATAGCTGTTGGAGAGACTTGGAGCAAGCATGTTTTTATCTATTTATACATTTTACACATTTTGTACTGAATTCTCGCATGCTGATGCTTATTAAAGCATTAATGTGCTCCTTGGTCAACTTGAGTTTTGGACATTTTATGATGTCAAGGAAATGCAACTTAACTGTGTGCAATTTATTGAATGCGCATGTCTGTAAGTTCTGTAAGATATTTACTATCTCGGGCTGTTTGTGGTATTATGTGTGACACTATGAGAAATAAGTACGATAAGTCTAGATTGAGCCCAAAATCATGAGTATTTTGTAATTATTAAATGAAAATGATTGACACTAGATTGTGTTCAACTATGTCTATTCGCTTTTTATTGATGATCATTTAAAACATTTGAATTGTTTTCAGCTGATAGTCCTTGATGAAAGAGTGGCATCCTATGTTCAGGCAAGGGGGTCTGTGCCTGTTTTCTGGGAACAACCAGGAATTCAGGTAAATAAAAAACTTGATCTGATTTTAAAATCCTTGTAACTGCTGTATGTAGTTATAAATATAATTGTCATCATTTTATCATATAAAATGACATTTTATAATATGACTAAAAAATCAATAAAAAGGAATTTAACAAATATATTTGAGTCAGTAATAATTAAGAAAAGAGAGCATTTCTTATGAGTTAAACATGTATTTCATGTTCATGTACTGTATGGTGCACAATTCATTTTATTTATTAGAATTGATAGACTCATCAAAATGGAAATAATTGCTGCAAAGTATTCCAATCTGCACAGCAAAAAATATTGATTTAATTAAATTTTCTTATAATTAAATGTATTTGAAAACAAAAAACACAAATGAAGTGATATCTAAAGAATTGGTCTAGACTTTTGTCATTGCTTGAAAGTGTTAACAATTGTTTCATATTGTAGGACGTCAWAATAATTTCAACTTTTACCCCTCCTTTGACACACAGAAAACACAATGTTTGAGGAAAACTAGTTTCGTCTATTCGACCTTATCAATTCCTCTACAACTGTTAACAATTGTGTTCCATGTTTTCTTCACAGAAATACTAGTCTATATACAATTGAAGTAGCAATACTGTTTTTCAATAAAACCTATTTCTAAGAGGCAATATCATACTGCCCCAATTCAGTAGTTTACATGGCACAGATTCATGAGTTTCTGTGAGCAGGCCATGCCATATGCTGTCCATGAATTCTGCTGTAACTCCTTCTATTTCAGATTATTTCATACATATACATGTACTTTTAAAATTGATATAATACTGATCAATACATGTATGTAATATATACAATATGAGTGGGCGATCTGTATGTAATATACAACTCTCTTCATGGGCTATGATTTCTATTGTGTTTTGCCTTATGAATATTAATGTGTTTTATAAGTTAACATACACTCACTATCTATTTGTACAATGTCAGGTTGGTTCACACAAAGTCAAGCTGTCAAGAGGATTTATAGCTTCATCACCTGCCTTTGACAGGTTTGTGTTAGTTGTATTACTGTAATTCTAATCAGTATCTATATTTGGACAGGAGTTGATATTAATGAAGAGCAAGTAATTTTTCCTTTTATTTGCAAGTTTTACAGTATGGAATATGKCTCATTATATTTAGTATTTGTACAGGCACATCACTGCTCTTAAGAGTATATATGGCCAGATTCTCATTTTAAACTTACTTGGAATAAAAGAAGGAGAAAATACCCTGAGTACTGCTTTCCAGGTATGACCTTAGTTCAYGTGAAAAAAAARSMAMGGAATTTYAGTTGTGAAAAAAAGGATGGAAATCTTAAGGGAGTCATTATATCAAACTACAGAAAYTACAGATCAAACTAAACACTTTTTAATAGTTGTTAACTACTTTTATTTTGAATCAGTACCATTACAATAGCTAGGTTCAACGCTAACTTTAACACCATGTTATGTGGTGCCAAGTATTAAACATTATTGGCATATACAGGCAGCAGGAATCCTCAGAATAACAAGGATAACGAACAGYTTTTGTTTTGCTGGTCTTYTTACTAGAGGTCTTTGGCCACTTAAGCGTTATTGACAAAGTGTCTGTAACATGTGGGCAGGGTCTCTAAGTAGTGAYAAGACCAATATATCATGTCATKTGCRCAAAATAATAAAACAAAAAATATGATAAAGTGATWGAGTCAAATGTAAAGAAGACCTCTATCTCTGGACACATGTTCACAAATTGYTTGTATTTCTTTTCCCAGGATCAACTTAAGGACTCTGTACATGGTCACAATACTCCRATGATATGCTTTGATTACCATAGAAACTGTAAAGGTGGACGGACAGACAAGTTGAATGTATTCAAGGACAAAGCTAAACCATCCATTGAAGAATTCAACCTTTTCTTTGCTAAAGGACCAATTGTTGAGAGGTACATAGAAAAAAATGGAGATTTTGTTGATTTGTATATTTATAGAATAAAACTATTTCAGAAAATGTACCACATATTGCATTCTAAGACCGCAGTGCATTGTTGATATTAAACTCCACATTTGGTGCATTTGGCAATGCAAGCGAACTGGAAAAAAAGGCTTATTTATAATGATTGCTTTTCATTGGAGGTCTTGACTGTATGGGGCTAGTATAGTCATTCTGAAACCACAAAAACTCAATGGGGATAGAACAACCCACAGTGCATTTCGGTCTTGGAGTACACTCTCTTAAATTGCTGTATACAATAGATACTAGTAGCGCCATAGTTAATAGACTATTGACTATGGTAGCGCTAAACAGCGAACCGAGAAAAGAAATAACGGCAAAGGTAAAGAAAGGAAATGAAAACAAAGCTGAAGGGTTGCTGAGATAGTCTGTCACTGCTGCTATCAATTTCTCAGGGTTCGATCAAGCGAACAATATCAAACGTCATTTATACTTAGTGACGTCATTTATACTTAGTGACGTCATTTATACTTACCCTTATATTGCTGGTAATTGCTTCCACAGAAGACAAAAGGGCGTGATTCGTTCTAATTGCTTAGATTGCATTGATAGAACCAACAATGTACAAACATTTATTGGGAATGAGGTGAGATACATGAAGTTAACAGCACAAACAAGACACAAATGTCCAGTCGTCCTTCTACAGCTCTCCTTTTGTTTGCTCAGTAATCTAATTAGGTTATAAAATAACTTTTAAGTTATTCGCATGATTAGCTTTTTGACATCTAATATGCTAATAAGCTACCCTATATAAACACTTGTACTTTAGATTATATATTACACTTGATAATGGAGTCATGACGACCCCGAAACGTCGTGGTAATACAAATTTGAAACTCATTCGTTTCTTGTCTTTCTCATTTACTATTTTATGTTTTTCTAAACAACTCCTGATAAAATAACTTTTATAACCTTAAATACTAATCGAGCAATAGCATTCCATCCTATATTTCTTCCTTCATTTTGTAAAGGGCCATAGTCAACCAGCATGCTCCTCGGACTTTGGTTGATATATACGAAAATGCGGAAAAATTCCGCATGTAGTTTTAAGAAGATGTCTTCCAAATATTTGATTCAAAGAGTACAATCAGACACTGAAAGTTCAAAGCTCTAACAGTAAYTTTAAAGTGATCACGATAAGCGTAAAACAACTTCTTTTAAGAAAACAACAGTCTTCTTGCTGTGACCTTTGTGTTGACATGTTTATGACCATTCCTCCGCATTTGCTTTTCCAGATGTTATCTGTCCAAATGCAGCTGCTTGGACTTGCTAACAAGTCCTCAATCGTTGCAAGGTTTGAAGAAGGGTTTAAAACAATGTGGGCAAAGAATGGCGATAATATCAGTAGAATATATATAGGTACTGGTGCTTTGGATGGCAAGGCTAGGGTAAGCTATGGGACTGCACTTGTCGTCTATACACTCGACCTTTAAAAGATCGTCTATCTAAAAAGGCTTTGCCAATGTTAGAATTGGCACGTGTCTTGATATATAGTAGATTGACTAAAGGTTGTCGTCGACCGGACTTCGTAGCACGCGAYCCAACGCGAACAGGTTTCTGGGTAAAAATCAATGAACTRGCATAACAGCACCTTCCAGTATAGTGTCAATTTGTTTGGACTTTTATTGTCTTTTTTAAACTCGAAGACAAACATTGAACGTTGTTTAATCTTGAGAAATAATACTTCAGCAGCATGTTTGTAGATGAGTTATATTGAACATTGTATTCCCCGCCATGGTGGAAAATAATGTGTCATGCAAAAATCAGCATCACATGGATSCATAATTAAATTCTTGTGATTTGGGAATTTTGGTCACACATTATGTGTCAGTTCTTCCAATTGATATTTACCCAGAAACCAGTTCGGGCTAGTCGCGTTTCATGAAACCCGGTTGACGACAACCTTTTGTCAATGGACTATAATTCAGATTCCGCACGTGCAACATTCTCTATCCTCCAATTAGAATTTTAAAAATGGCCGCGCCCTTTCTTTGCTGAAACACACCTGAGATTCTACCCTTGTGGAGACAAGCATATAAGTCACATACACTGAAAATGTCTTTTGATCAGTTGTATCATCTGTTCATTTGTTTGTAAAAACGGTTATTGTGATTCCATCCATAATGTCAAAACTGTTTCTTGTCCCTCTGGCGTCGATTGTCCGAAGGGTGAATAGCGCTATCCACCGGATAATTTCATATAATGTACAACAGTTAAAATTCTTACAAAATCCATTACTTAGATAACTTTATCCACTCTTGTACACCTTGTCACTAATCCTTTTATTCGTAAATTTGTTTTCTTCATTAAGGTGGTAAATAAGCTACGAGATGGCGCACGCTCAGTAAAGAGAGCTATCCGTAGTAACTTTCTTGATGGAAGTAAACAAGAAGCCATCGATATGTTCTTGCTTGGAAACACGTTCTCAGGAGATTTGGGAGAGAGAGCTCGCGCTCTTCTGCACTCGTCGTTTTTGCACTGTAAGCAGATGTTAAAATAACACACTTATAGGAATTCATATGCAAAAAGCAAGACTTCTTAAGACATATGATGACGAATCTCTTGGGCAATGTCTATGTGATCGTACATTGTATGGGGAATATTTCACATATCTTCTTTTCAAACATTAGAGATAGGTCATGTGACCACACCCTTCTTTAATCAATCAGTGTACTAAAATAAAATAAAAACATTTAAAACATTTAAGATTTTCTCAAATATTTTTCAGCATCTCCCAAGATCCTTCGCGAGCTCTGCGATCGGCACTTAGAGTATACCACGTGGTCCAATATACGGGTATGTGTTGGTACGTGGAACGTTAATGGTGGACGTCATTTCCGGTCGATTGCGCATAAGCACCAGACGATGCATGATTGGCTGCTTGATTTTCATAAATATTTGCCTGAAAGTGGGTATTGTGAGGTTGAGAATGTTGACTTCACTCAACCAACAGATGTGTATGCTATTGGTTTTGAAGAGCTAGTGGACCTTAACGCTTCAAATATCGTGTCAACCAGGTTGGAATTGAGTGAATAGTAATATTACAACAAAACATGTTTGCCTAGAATAATTATATATCATTAAAGTAAAACTAGTACCCAATACTAAGGTACAGTTTCCATTATTTCATACAAATGCTTTCGTGAAATTCAGGTTTCGTAAGTCTTTTATTCGTTGTTTCTTTACTTGTTTAAATAGCAATTAACGTTTTTTCTCCTTTTAACCCTTATTATGTATTCCTWTGACTGAACTCTTCCTTAATGAAATATTTTTTTGTTTCTCAGTTCATCGCAGAGAAAAGAGTGGGGCGAGGAGTTACGCCGTGTGATATCACGTGACTTTCCATATGTATTGGTCACATGTGAACAACTTGTAGGGGTTTGCTTGTACTTGTTCGTAAGGCCACACCTTGTACCATATATTCGGTTAGTGAAAATTCTCAATGCTATAGTCTTTAACAACTAAAAAACAGATAAATGAATGATATCAAAGATGTGAAAGTGGATATTAAGAGTCGATTAAGGATAAGCATTTCGTGTGGCGCAATTTTAGATTATTGATTGATTTTATAAWCAAAAACAAAAATTGACAAAAACAGGTAAAACATGTTTTTTGTAAAGCGAAAATTAGTTGTAATAGTTGKAATTGTTTTACTTTGATCCTCTCAAAAGCTGCAGTAGATTATAACAAAACCCGTGATTTTAAATTATTAACCTTTCAGGGATGTAGCTGTACATGCTGTCAAGACTGGTCTTGGGGGCAGTGCTGGGAATAAAGGAGGTGTTGGTATCCGCATGTTACTTCACGCCACATCAATTTGTTTTGTCTGTTCTCACCTGGCCGCTGGCCAATCGGGTGTAGTCGACAGAAACAATGATTATCTAGATATCGCGTCAAGGGTAGCTTTTCCAATGGTAAGTACTTATCARTGTATGTCTCTCAAAGCTGTTTTCCCGGCTGCTTTCAGTACTAAATTGTTTATTTGCTTTTATCGCGTATTTTCAAATTCACAAAATTTATGGCATGGTTATAAAAAGCCGATTTTAAAAWTTACTGTTTCATTCGATGAATGGTATGTGCATCATGCGGTTATTGTTGTTACATTGCGACATTATATTAATTCTCTTAAGAATCTGTTTCACAGCTTTAAGCGCGCTATACCATTGACGTGGTCTATTGATTGACACAATTTGTTCTATTTAAGGGTCGAACGATCCGCTCACATGACTATGTGTTCTGGTGCGGTGATTTCAACTATCGCATCGATCTACCAATGGAAGACGTGAAGKCATTTATTAAGCAAAAGAACTGGGGCGAATTGATTGAAGGTGACCAGCTCATTAAACAGAGGAATGAACACAAGGTATGGATGATATTAATCAATCAGTTTATGCTGTCAATCAGTTTATGCTGACACTAGTCAAATTCTTATCTTTGTCAACTGTTTTGGCAGGTGTTTCGTGGTTACATCGAAGGACAGCTTGAATTTGCGCCAACGTACAAGTACGATCTGTTCTCTGACGACTATGATACCAGYGAGAAAATGCGCATCCCGGCCTGGACTGACCGCGTGTTATGGAGACGAAGAAAGCCTAGGTACAAGTCCACTTCTCATGTCAAGAAGCATGTGATCAATCGAATAGACGGGAGTAAGGGTGACTTGATGACTGAAGAAGAGGAGGAAGAAGAAGAGGAAGATGATGACGATGAGCCTGAAGGTAATAGCTGTTTCTAAGATAGCCTCGATGTATTCCTGCATCTTGTCAGAGTATTCCGTGATTCAGTCAATCCATCATTTCCGACATCACCGGTCATTATTATCATCCTAGATGCGACTTTATCTGAGAGCAACAAAGAGAGTGATATCCACTTCCACCCTGGAAAAGTGTTGTATTATGGCAGGGCCGAACTGAAGACATCCGACCATAGGTTAGCGAAAATTTATGATGTTATTTTTTGTATATTTGCTACTTATTTTGCTTCGCATCAAGATGAAAACACTTTTTGACATCTGTTAATGAACGGCTGGTGGACTGACCTACAAAGAAACTGACCGACTTGAATTGTGAGAGTGAATCAGAAATGTATAAATAACCATGTTACCGTGTGACTTCAAGTCAAATCCACGCAAACAAATTTGCTATTTCACYACACAATATCAATTTTAAACAATCTGTTAACATTTTTGTTTCCCCAAGACATTTCCGTTCAATATCGCAGACACAACAATTATTTAAATGTTCGAGCTTGTTTGGATTTTTTTTAGGAAAAAGGCGGAAACTAGCGGTAAAGTAGTGTGAGCTGCCACGGTGTTTCATGAGAAACCGTAAAATTTGTAGGAAGTTTTTTATCGTAGCTTTTGTTAGACGTGTAATTTTACTGATGATATTGTCCCACGTAGGTACTKTCCATGTGTAATTTGTTTTATTGTCAATGTAACAGACCAGTGGTAGCATTGATTCAAATTGAAATTCAAAAAGTCAACGTCAAAGAACAAAGCAAAGTACATGAAAGTGTCATGCAGTCAATGGGACCAGCGGATCCTACCATTGTAGTTAACTGTGATGATGACGACGACGGTGAAGGCATTGACGTCAGCGAATTACTTGAACTTTTAGAAACTTGTGGAACAGCTGTTCTAGTAAGGTACTAAATGCAAAAACTGTGATTCCTTGTCCATGTTCAAAATCTCAAATGTGGTGAAAAAATAACCTTTGTAGATTTTTAAGTTTAGAGTTTTTTCCATGGTTTGCTTTCTACAAAAAAAGCATCTTTTACGTTCAGTTTCCATGACACTAAAGTCTATCAATTATCAGAGCAAATTGGCCGCTATGATGTTTAGTGCGCATACTGAAGGAATGTGCTTTTGAAGGTTATTCTTTCTTCAACAGAGAATTCGCATGAGGTTTAGCGGTCAAATTTTGAGGCTTTTCCCTATATATCTTCTTATCTTTTACTTTCCAGAGTCGTTGATGATGATATTCTCGTGACATTTGAAGACGGAAGGAGTGCATTAAAGGCATTACATTTGGACGGCAAAGAGGTATTTAAATTGACAGATATTAGACTAGAGTGGTTTCGTAAAGCATAAAACAAGAGTCAGGGTGTACAATAATAAAAGTTTATTTACCGATCACGTGGTCCCTAAGGAAACGTTTGCACGAGTAAAGGAGGAGTGAGATTGGATCTTGGACAATTATAGCTGTGTTTTGAGTATAGTTAACAAGCTCAGGAGTAATTTTGGATTGAAAGGCGTATGTGTGATTAGATATTTGAATGTGGCTTATTCATTTAATTTTAAAGGTTTCTTCTGTTTTAATATTTTATAAATTTTCCATTTTTTTATCCCTATTTTCTCTCATCTTTTCTTCCCACAAAAAATTCTTATTGATTTGTTTTATGGTTATACAAGGTATCAGGGAAGGTGGCCAGARTCAAGCTTAAATCTGAATCGCTTTTATCCAACACAGACCTCACTATACAAACATTGATATCAGGAGAKTCTTCTTTTGCTAGTGACATATCAGAAGATATCCTATCTCCGACTAGAGGACGAGCGCTTTCTGATCTCTTATCGACATCTAGTGAAAATAAGCATATACAAGTCTTAGAGCCAATCAAAATACAGTCTGCAGAACTCGAGGGAGAAAGTTCTGAAAGCGAACCGGAAGACGYCCATGATTATGAAGAGGATTATGATAGTGATGACGTGGACAGCAGAACGGAAGCGGATCGTCAAATTGAAGGTATTTGTTGCATTTTAAAGTCATTTGCATATATCATACTTTTAATTTCTTTACAAATGTTCAACATAAAGCTTCAAAACTTCTTTACAATGTCAATAACATTCAATTGACTGTTTAACTACAAGTTTATTATTAAAGTTCTTCCTTCGAATATTAAAAAACTATTTATGCAATACAAGTGAATCTGAGCGAACAACGCTAATGGGATTGACTGTATATCGAAGTTAGAAGAAAATAGGACACATTTTGGAGACATGTATCGTCAGACCATSATAAGATTCAAATGAATATCATAGCTTTAAGTATGAATTCTGAATAAAARCTTGTTTTTCATGCATCAAGAAACCTGAGTATCAGGCCTTCGAGGGGGGCAGGGGAGAGGATGAAAAAAACGAACTTCCCCTTTTCTTTTCCCTTCGTTTTTTCTYTCAGAGATCCTGATACTCAGTGCCATTTAGTAACCGTTCCAAAACAACGAAAACAAACCAAAAACAACAACAAAACAAAATGGAAATATGCAGGATGAATAAGGACGAAAAACATAACAATCGGCGATAGCATTTCAGAATAGTTGGCTTAAAGCTACTTTTAAGTTATTTCTYAACATTTTGGTATTATATTTTTATATTGAAACAGAACCGTCGTCTAAACCAAAGCCACCACGCCCAGCTCAACCMAAGAGACCTAAGCCTCCCAGACCTGCAGCTGCCAGGCCAAAACCACCCAATACTCGGGTAGTCAAGTTTGARGAACAAGCTCTTCGGTCTATCCCTGATTATAAAGACAACTTTGAGGGTTCCCAGGAAGCATTGGAACACTTTGATCCCTTGGCCCAAATTGAGACAGACAAGCCTAAAAGACCACCTCCACCTAAGAGACCGGCTCCACCTAAAGTCAAACTTAAGACAACMCRGGTTGAACAAAGTAATCAGTCAAAGAGTGAAGGAAGTCAACAGAGTTTAGTGATAAACAGTCCTACAAAACCCACAACTGAAGTTAAGACCATTAGAAAAGTAGGTTTGATGACTTTACTAATTCATCATATAAATTCATTGATTTTAATTTTAATGAATTAAAATTATTTTTCGTTGTATTTCTTCTTATTGAGACACTRTTGGTGCCATAAAACTTTGCAGTGAAACCACAAGCGCATTTTATGACGTCGAGTGTGTTAATACGAGGACATACTATAAAGCTAAMGACAGTCTACTATGTTCTCCAACAACCCGGAGTGTCATGAAAAACTAAAAATATGGTAGTTTTTATACCATACTTATGTTGACGTTACGTTCTGGGGCTAAACGCCGGCTGCCTGACGTTTAGACACTGTGTTTCAATCAATTGTAGTTAAACTTGACCAACTTGCATGACCAATCATTTGCCATAGTATGATATCTTCGATTTGTAATTTATTCAAGTAATTAGTGATTTACATGCTTGTTAGTAACCTATGTACTTTTTTTCACAAAAACTCCAATTTTCAGAAAATTGTTCCGTTTTATTTTGCTGAAAATCAATAGATCTAATCGGCTAACGCGTTGCAATAAACGTTTTCACCCTATTCAAACCACCCGGGTGGTGATCCACTTAAGGAGTAACTTCATTTGGTGGATTTCGTTCATTTGTAACTTGATTGAGCTTCATCATCATTGCTTGTTTTATTGGTTGAATGTTTGATTGATTGATTTAAAGAAGCTAAGAATGGATTTGGCTTGTTTATTGAGTGGATCATTGATTGTTTGATTTAAGTCTGCAGGATCTAGCCGTACTGACATTGGTATGCCATTCAACGTGCAGCACTTGGGTCACGTGAGTGCAGATAATATCGAAGCTTTGCTAYTGGCTGCCAAGAATGACCCAACACTTTTGCCATCATTTATGACAGCAGACGTCAGCAAAGATAATAAACATACTAAAACAGGCACAACCGATGAACTTCCAAAAGAAACCAGTCCACTAACCGGTAACGATGAATTCTCAGTACAAAAAAGCACTAAAGTTGAATTGTCTTCTGGTACTCAGCATGCGCWCCCTGTACCAATTAGACGCTCTAAGCCAACCCCAGCCCCACGACCAAGGTCATATGCTGAAGTGAAAGATGGYGATACCACCATTAGCGCTACTGCACGTGCGCCAGTAGATCCCGAGGCCAAGCCCCTAGTGAAACCTAAACCCTTGACACGAAAAGACGTTTTTGACGCTATTAGCGATGCACCACCAAATAAATACACACCTCATTTACAACCAGCAAGATCAGAGATGGATGTTTGCTCCCAGGATCGCTCAAATCCACCAGTTGCTCCARTGCGCAGGCGCAAAGCACCACCAACAAGACCGATGTCTGTACCCAACCTTCTGCAATATGCTGAAGCGGAAATAAACGAACCGCAAGTGGACAATAGTCATAGTACTTCTAAAACAGATTCTGGACTTACACAGAATGTTTCAGATGAGCAAGAAAATACTACTCTTCCACGACTGCCGAATAGGTCAGCACCCCCACCCGTCCCCCCTCGAGTAGATCTTGAATAATTTCTTGAATTTTTGATAATTTGTCAATTTAATACAATTTATACAATTTTTATTGCAATATGATACTTAGAGTATTATATAGTATATATAACGAAGGAAATAAAACAGTGAAWCGAATTTCATTGCCAAGATAATTGAATTTGAAATGTAAAAAGAGGTATTTTCAAAACAAATCGTATAGATCACCTTTTTTAGTTCGTTTTTTTTTAAATCAAATCATTGGATACTAATATACACTCATTTTCCGTTTCACCAATCTTGTTTCTTATTAATGGTGTAGCAAATGCGGCCACATACTGCTGTGTGATGGTGAATAATGTTTAATGGTAGACTCAAGCTTGTGCGATCACTAGAGTGAACGCACTTAATCCGTGCAACTGTACAAAATCTAAGTAGTTCTAATTTCTACTAAAAGTGGACATGAAGCAAGACGGTATTGAATGCTTCATTTGTATCAATTCAATTTAATTTGCGTATCGCAAGCACGATTTATTAAATACACCTAAACRTCACTATTTAGTTTKTACAGTTGCACCGATTAAGTGCGATCACTCTACTCTAATGAAATAAATATCGCTATGATATTGAAGGTTAGACAATGCAAAACAAAGGAATTTCCATAATTTAGTACAATTTAGCTCTATTTTTAAGATTAATAGAGTGATCGCACGTGCAACTGTAAAACTAAATAGTTCCATTTAGTTGCATTTAGTAAATCGTGCATGCGGTGCGCAAATTAAATTGAATTGATACAAATGAAGCATTCGATATACCGTCTTGCTTCAGGTCCACTTTTAGTACAAATTAAGACTAATTAGATTTTGTACAGTTGCACGCTTTAAGTGCGATCACTCTAACGTTTTTCCTATTTCAGTGTTTGCACTCTTAAGTTGTATAAAAAACTAACGTGGCCGCTCCCCGTTGAGAGGTTAGGACGTTCGATAAAGTTTTGGGTTTCCTGTGTAATAGCCCGCAGTGTATCTTGGGTAGCATTTGGCGAAACGTGTGGTGAGGGTGAATCTTGTTGAGCTAGAATCCGTTTGAAGTTGGCTACACGCCCGCAATCGCATTCTTTGTCGTATTTACTTCGATTTCCATTAGTAAAGATGCAGATTTACAATTTGTCATCAGTTGCAAAGGTAAGTTAGTGCTATTATTGTTATTGTTTTGATTATTTCGTAAGTTTTGGATGAACCGTTCCTTCCCGCTCCCTCGGTTTCTCACTCTGGCAAATTAAGCTTAAATATGGAAATTCAATCCTTTCTTTTGCATTATTTGTGAATTTGTTTTCTCTTTAAAGAACTAATGTAAATCAAAAATARTGCAGAATGCAGCACCCAGAAATATCAGGAGCCATCCTCGGTGTGAGGGTTAGGGTTGAGATAGTTAAGGCTGATTTAGGATTCAGTTTGACACAACTTTTCCCTACAACTATCGCATGCGACCTGCGTAAGTCATCCTTACGACATGGTTGCAACTGTCGTGAGGTTATTAACACGGGTAGCCCAAGCTCTTTACTTGATATAAGAGAATGTATGTGAATCTATGTAAACAGTTGATTTATGGCATAAATATACAATGAATTTCGCTATAACTTATTGTGTGCATTATTATAGCTACTGGTAATCTCTGGAGCGATTTTCAGAACTTTTATGAATTTTTTTCCCCTCTTACTATAATCTGTGACAGGGTAGGAATCGAAGCCCTCCATATCCACTTCGAACAGCTCTAAATTTGGTCGATTTTTTCGTCGAAATTCGACTCCTAAGGCAATGTGCCTTTGTACAGCTGTCAACTAATAACTTACCACTGCAGAAATGCTGGTTTCATCGAGCCAGTTGATTTTCTTGAGCCATGAGCTCTCCTGAGGCAAGTAAAACCCGTGTCAAAACCGCCATTTTGCCACTGTGGCGGAGAAAGTACTGTACAAAAGCATGCAAAAATCCAACGTGCCAGGGAGGTCATGTCTACGAAATTAATTCAGTCTTTGTTTTTCTTCAACCATTCACAGGTTCGAACGTGCCACATGGTCTTCGAATGTGTGCATGGAAAAGCCCGCATATCGCATTTACGAAATTCACACTCCATGATGGCTTGTTCGCCGAAAAAGCGAAGGAAACACGATTCCGCTACCTCTTTTGCTTTAATTCGAGCTTG